GTGAGATTTTGAAAAAATAACTTTTGTTGAGCACTAAATATTGCTATTAGCCATTTCTATGGTTGTGTACCCAACTGACCACCACATTTCTATGGTTTCCCTGTCACTCACAATTAAGACTAATTATTATTAAATGTAAAATATGGTGAGATTTTGAAAAAATAACTTTTGTTGAGCACTAAATATTGCTATTAGCCATTTCTATGGTTGTGTACCCAACTGACCACCACATTTCTATGGTTTCCCTGTCACTCACAATTAAGACTAATTATTATTAAATGTAAAATTTTTATTCAAGGTTTTTCAGCAACTCATCAACATAAATGATCATCACGAGACTACAGTTCCCACGTCACGAACCTGTTATGTGAAACATTTTCTCAAAATAACATTGTTCGCAGCTTAATTCCCATCATTCTTTAACGACAATATTTTCAATCACGTTATTATTGAATTATTACAAAAACAAATCAACGAAATTGAACTGTGCACTGACAATCACAGTAAATATAACAATAGATAAGTAAAGTTATAAAATACATAACAATCTTTTTTTCACTTGATTTTAGAAAAAAAGCCACATTAGGTTATACGTTGTATCCACCACGGGGAATCGAACCCAGGAGTTTAGCGTTGCAAGTCAGTAGACTTACCGCTGTCCCACTGGGGAATTTTTCTCAAGCAACGAGCTAGACATAAAAAAAACATTACATACTTACATGTGCAAAATGTACAACTCATTTTTATAATAGTAAATAACAACCAACCTCATTTAATTTCTTACTATCGTTGCAGGTGAAGTCAAAAATGGGTTTTTTGTACCCTCGGTCGTCATTGAAGTTTTGTGGTAAAAGGTCTAACGTAGTAACGTCCACACCACGACGAAGGATGTTGAGGCCTGGAGCAGTATTTTGGCATTGTATTGACCACGTGACAGTAAGAAAGCATAATATAAGCATGAAACACAAGAAACAATACGCCATATCTGAATAGTTTTAGAAACTTCGTACTACATTCGGCGTTGAACCGAAGACAAATCCAGTCATTGATGAAGTCAAGACTTCTGATCCAATGTTTGATTTTATCACGTCGGAAATGAAACATCCGCTCTTTTAAGGGCGATAGAAACGCGGAACAAGCCTTCATATATATGTATTTACATGTACAATCAACACTTTCCAGGAAATCTTCCGAGTATTTCCTTCTGGAAATTTCGAAGTTTTTGTTGTTATGGTTACAGGATATTCCCAGAATATGAGATGTGTCAAGATGAAATAATCACGACCAGAGTTTCAGTTTCACGCAATACATCTACATCTACAGCCTTGAGCTTTGAACGTGGTGTTTATATCGCTTAACATTTTTCTCGTTTGGATTCATATTCCAGTCTCAAAGCAAGTGCGGAAGATTAGATCTATTAGGTTTAAACGATTTGAAAGATGTTTAATAAAAACTGGGATTTCCAGTTAGCAACTGAACACGTGGAAAAACAAAATTTAATTTATTTTGTGACCTTTCTCGGTGTAGAAGCAACGTCCAGTGTACATGCAAAATACACTTACGTCAACTACATTTAATGTTTGTTTGTTAAGCTGTGCCCACGATGGGTATCGCGTCATTATGTTTGTTTTTCTCTGGGAATATGACATATTTAGTGAGTTGTTTACTTAATAGTGTTTCCCCCTGGATTATTACTTAAAAATAGTGGCCGGAAATAGGGAAAAGAACGTCAGAAATACTATTCGCATGTATTCGGAGGGTATGGAAGGGAGAATTTCCCCCATAACACTCCAGCTCAGAAAACTGAACCCGTCACGTTTATTTGTACGTTTATTTATATGTTTATATAACATATAACAGAAAAAGAGAAAAAATATATAGACTTGTTTTCACATGTGATCTCTTGTTAAATCTCCACCTACCCTTGTTAGGCAATTTTAAACAACGGTGAGGTTTTGTTTTGTAGTCAGGTCAAACTGATTTCTATTGTCTCCCGGTGGGACAGCGGTAAGGCTGCGGACTTGTAGCGCTAAAATTCGGAGTTCGATTGACCGCGGCGAAGACAGCAGATAGCCCAATGTGGCTTTTCTATACAACAAAGAAACATGGCTGATTTTTCTTAGAGCGGTGGGATACGTCAAAGAAAAATGGAGGATTCAGAAAGATATGTACTACGAAGTAAAGTGTGTTTCTTTGATTACATGAGTTCGTGAGGATGAAGTAAAGAGAGTGGACACATTTTAAGACAAAAAACACAATCCTAATTGTATGTGTTAGTTTAATAAGGTATGACTCAGATAACACAGTTTGTGTTAGTTTAATATGGCATGACTCAGATGACACAGTATGTGTTAGTTTAATAAGGTATGACTCAGATAACACAGTTTGTGTTAGTTTAATATGGCATGACTCAAATAACACAGTATGTGTTAGTTTAATAAGGTATGACTCAGATAACACAGTTTGTGTTAGTTTAATATGGCATGACTCAGATAACACAGTATATGTTAATTTAATAAGGTATGACTCAGATAACACAGTTTGTGTTAGTTTAATATGGCATGACTCAGATAACACAGTATATGTTAGTTTAATAAGGTATGACTCAGATAACACAGTTTGTGTTAGTTTAATATGGCATGACTCAGATGACACAGTATGTGTTAGTTTAATATGGCATGACTCAGATAACACAGTATGTGTTAGTTTAATATGGCATGACTCAGATAACACAGTATGTGTTAGTTTAATAAGGTATGACTCAGATAACACAGTTTGTGTTAGTTTAATATGGCATGACTCAGATAACACAGTATGTGTTAGTTTAATATGGTACGACTCAGATAACACAGTTTGTGTTAGTTTATACCAAATTCACACCCTTTTATACACAACAGGTGTGTGTATGTGTGTTTTGACGAACAAATGTTCAAAACAACTTATACAGACCAGAATAACAAGTTGCACATGTTTGTCCGATCATACGCTACCTTCTTTTTTATTACTCGGGTATTTACTCAATAACTACTCCATGGATGTAGACAATAACATCAATATAGAACAGTATGCAAACACTTTCGGCAAGACAAAAATTGGGATGAATGAGGATGCATATTCGTTTGACATCACTGTTCTTCCCCTTTTCGTCAGCTTGTTTGTATTTTTAAGAAACATAATAATAAAAAATATTCATTGTGGTAAACGAAATAATAATTTGATCTAAGTAAGAGTTATTTTTTTCTTCCCGGTTTGTAAAATATCCTCACGTGATAGAACAAAAAAGTGAATACATTTGAGAGGCTGATGAAAAGAGTACTGGAAGACCTACAATGGAGGATAGCCCTAGTGTACCTGGATGACGTCATTCTGTTTGCAACAACATTTGATGAGGAAACGCCCTGACTAGAGGAAGTATTCAAGCATTTGAAAGCAGCAAATTTCAAACTCCATGCCAAGAAATGTCACTTGTTCCAGAAAAAGGTGCTTTACTTGGGTCACACTGTAAGTGAGCATGGTGTGTGAACTGATCCTGACAAGGTGAAAGCAGTGCATGATTGGCCAACACCAGACAATATTGGAGAGTTAAGAAGTTTCTTGGGACTCTGTACCTATTACCGGAAGCTTGTGAAAGACTTTGCAACTATAGATGCTCCACTACATGATTTGACAAAAAAAAGGGCTAGCGAAACCACAGTCAAGGGAACGGGCTTTGAAAAATCATGTTGTGCCAGGTAGTGGTGGACTGTTTCTTGCCAGAATGCTTTCAAGACATTGAAAGAAAAATTGGCCTCAGATCCACTTTCAAAGCTTCCAAGTCCCTTACCGCCATACATACTGGATTGTGATGCTAGTAATGTCGGAATTGGAGGAGTGTTGTCTCAGAAAGTGGGCGAAAACGAACATATGGTGGCCTACTTCAGTAGGGTGCTGAGTAGACCACAGAGGAACTACTGTGTAACACGGAGGGAACTCCTTGCTATAGTAAAGAGTTTGACATATTTCCATCCTTACCTCTATGGGGCTAGGTTTACCATCAGGACAGACCATATTGCATTATGCAGGTTAAGATAATTAAAGAACCCAGAGGGACAACTGGCACGTTGGATCGGAAAGGTAGACTAATATAACTATGATATTGAACATAGAGAAGAAAAATCTCACGAAATGCCGACGGACTGAGCCAAACACCCTGCAAAAATGACTGCAGACATTGTTGCGAAAGAGAGGTTGAACTAACCAGGTGCCATCAAGCTCAAGTCAAAGTGACTGAAGAAGTTGATGATGGTGAAGTGGAACCAGGTAGAGATATTCAAGCAAAACAGGAGAAAGACCAAGATTTGAAGTGTTTTGCGTCCTGCTTGAGAAAAGGTGTCTAGCTTAAGCCCTGTGACAAAGATTTATTGGGCATAATGGGACCAGTTGAAGTTACGGGAAGTTGTGCTGCGTCAATCCCATGATAGTTTAACATGAGCACATCTCGGAGTTAAGAAGACATTGATTCACCTACGGCAGAGATTTTACTGGATATTTATGAGGCAAGATGTGGAAGAATGGTGCAGAACATGTTGTGCTAAAAGGGGATCCAAGCATAAGAGGCGTGCTCCAATGAAGTTATATCAAGTTGGTGCACCAATGGAAAAAGTAGCCATTGACATTGCTGGTCCATTGCTCCAAACTCGTGCTGGAAACAGGCCACTTGGTTAAATAATCCATCACCACACAAATGTACCTGAGGCATATGCAATACCAAATCAGGAAGCTACAACTGTAGTTCGGCTATTAGTGATTTCTTCTTCAGATTTGGTATGCCATATGAACTGCATTCAGATAAAGGCGATAACTTCGAATCAGCTGTGTTCCAAGAATGCTGCAAGTTGTTTGGCATCCGAAAGACCAGGACAACGCCACTTCACCCACAGTCTGATGGGATGATAGAAAAGTACAATTGGACACTGGGACAGGAATTGGCAAAGTTTTGTAATAGCCACCAAGATGACTGGGATGTCTTACTCCCTCCACTGTTGATGGCCTATAGGACAGCAGAGCATGAAGCCACTGGATACACTCCAGCAAAGTTGATGTTTGGTCGGGAACTTCGGTTGCCAGTGGATCTGTTAACAGGACGCCCACCTTATGAAGATTTGCCTGAAAATGTGTCAGAATTTGTGAAAGTGTTATCGGAAAGGATGGATGATATTCACCATCAAATGCGTTCAAACTTGAAAACGTCTGCTGATTCGATGAAGTTAACTTATTATAAGAGATCTACTGAAGCCAGCTTTGTACCAGGAGACATGGTGTGGTTGTATAATCCTAGGAAGACCAAAGGGAAGTCTCCTAAGTTGTCTTCTCCATGGGAAGGCCCATATGACATAGTGGATCGTCTCTCAGACGTGACTTTCGGAATACAATGTGGTCGGAGAAGTAAGCCAAAAGTGGTGCTTGCCAACAGGCTTTGGCATTATCATGGTCCAGGACATTTCAGTTTGGATGAAGTGGACAACAGAACAAATGGCGCTGCTGAAGACGTGCCACATGAAGAAGAAACTCTACTCAGTTTTGAGAAGGGAAACAGTGAAGCTCTTGATGAAGTTACTACCACTGATGTGACTGTTACCGACGATAGTACATTTCCTGATGAAGCAGATGAACCCCACGTGAAGCAGAAGCCAACAAGATGGAGACCAGTACGGAAGAAGATACGTCCCGTAAAATTAAGAGACTTTGTTGAATTGTAATTTTGTGATTGTAATTCTGTACATTTAATTAAGTTATTGTTAATTGTTATTGGTTTATTGTAAGTGGCTATTGTTCGTCCCGAACAATAGTAAGGAGGGGGCAGTGTTGCGTCAGCGAGGTCACGTAACTAATGTCACGCCACCTCTCGAACCTTCGGGAATGGTCGGGAGATTACTAGATATAGGGTAGTCTGGTATATATATAAGAGGGTGACAACGTGACGATAATGTGTGTGTAGACAGTGAGTAATTGATCTGCAGTCAGAGAGTATTATTGAGCACGTTTGTTGTTATACCGTTTGTTTTAGCGCGATTGTCGAAATTAAGTGTAT